TAAGGTCTTGAAAATTTTACTCTTCAATTCGCTAAAAGTCTTTAGGCTTCAATATTTAATATTTGCATAATCACAGATTTTGCCAAACTTTTAGCGGAAGAAAACCGGTTTCGAACTCATTGAGAAGAATTTCGTTACTTCTCAACAGCTGACATGATAAAATTTGAGTACCTCTGCAAGTCGTAGAATATACTTATATGCATAATGTACCACACAGTGTATAATATACATATGTGTGTGTACACACACATATGTATATATAAATGCAATAAACTTTCTAAAGAAAAAATAAATTTCTATTTTAATATGTAATTGTATATTTAATATAATTTAAATATGTATTTTTTAATTATATACATATAAAATGTGCAATTAAAAATTGTCTAATTTTAAGAATCTGACATAAAGTCGATGCACACAGCATTAGATTTTCCTGCAGAGAAAATTTTCACAAATTTTCTTTTTCGCAATCCTTTGAAGACGCGGCCCTGCGCGACGAAACGCATCCCCCTTCTTTCTCACTCAATCGTGCCGCGGCAGATTACTCGATCTTTTATGCCTCAATTATCATACCGAGCTGTTATTAAACTCGCGCCAGGCATACTTAGCGCGCTCCCTGTTGTATTCTTTCCGCTTAACAATATTCGGTCGCATCCGCGTGCGAGTGAAACATATCTTATGTACGAGTGAAACGCGTTCCACGTTCGCGAATTATCAGCGTGATCAATCGTAATTGTCGATTTGAAAAGAAGCGTGGATAGTTGTACAAATGTTCGAACGATAACAAATAAACATACAAAATCAATTTGAAGTTTGCGATAAAGTTGCTCTTTTTTTTTAGTAACGAATAATTTGTCATGCATCTACATTTGTAATATTATATTTAGTTGTGTTATCTGGATAAGGTGTGAAAAGGGATTTAAAGTTGCGTTAAAGCTGGGATTCATTATTAGCTATTAGCGATATTTTTTTAATTATAATGCTAAAACATTATCAGTTTTATTAATATGGCGAGTTGTTACATTAATTTTTATCTGCATTTTTCTTTAATCTGTAAATTAAAGAAAAATCTGGAATTTAATTTTTGGTTGGTGTTGAATACGTAGTGATTAAAATATGACATTGAGTACAAAACTCATTGTCTACCCGCAAAACAAAATTATGTAACAACGTTTTTGTAACGTTGCTTTATAACCATGCGATTTGCGATTTGTTATATAAATGTTTTGGTAACGTCCTAGGAACTAGGAATGTCCTAAGTCGATTACCTTACATATGCGACGTCACATTTGCAACGTTTCTGCGACATTTTTTTTAAAACTTGCCTCCGATGTTAGGGACGTTACAACTTTAGTTCCACAAATGTTTTTGTAACGTTTGAGGAACAAGAAATGATCCGCTTGATTTATGGTTAATTTATAACTCGAATTGTACCATTTTTGTAACGTGAATTTGGACTATAACACATGAAAAATAATTAGTTTATCAGCGTCGGCGCCCGCGTCGAGCACTTTATTCACTCAAAGATTGTTTAAAGAATTTGTTGCTCTTAAGTTTTTGGTACCAAAATGTTCCTTGTAACGTATACTATCGAAATATACTCATTTTCGATTTTGTTGCTAACTCTGACTCATGAAAAATCAATTATTTATACTGTCCGCGCTCGCCCCGTGCGCTAAAGTTCCCTGAAACATTGTCTAAAAAATTTGTTGCTCGTAAGTTTTTGGTACCAAAATGTTCCTTGTAACTATTTTTCATGTGTTACAGTTAGCAACAAAATCGGAAATGGGTATATTTCGATAGTATACGTTACATGGAACATTTTAGTACCAAGAACATATGAGCAACTAACTCTGTACATGTAGCTTTTAATCATGACGCTGTTACGCGTGATGATCCAATTTTGATTATTTATCGATATTTGTTTAACAATTTAATTTTTTTGATATTTCTTGGCACTATTCTGGAGCAACAAAAGAGTAACAAAATTTGGTGTACTTGCTTTTTTGATATTGCAGCTTTGTAAATATTTTTTGACTGTGGGAGGTCCAGCTTGCCATGAAGCTGGACCCACCCATTTTTTATTTTTTTTACTGCTAAACGGTTTGAGCGGCAAAATTGTTTCTGGGGCAACTAATTAGCAACAAAAGAGCACTAAATTTTTTAATATGTTCGGACTCAATTTGCGCTGGTAGGGAATCCAGCTTAATAGGGGTGAAAAATTCGCGGAAAGATTGGAAAAATTCAGTCTTTTTCTGATCCTTTAAAAATATAAATAATATGTTCGAACTAACGTGTAGATAAAGCGAATAATTAAGGTGTGGAAAAAACATACGTCTTATAAGTTAGCGGAACAAAGTGAGCGGAATCGATTTTAACCAACATTTTTCTTTGTTGCTCATTTGTTGCTAAAAAGTTGCCAAAGAAAAAAATTTGTTGCTCTGTCGGTTTATTTAAAAAATGATGTTTCGCTAAAAGAAGATTAAGTTAGCGGAACAATATACCTATAACAAAGCCAACCTACACAAAATTAACGTAGGAATTTGTTGC